GTATCATAAAAATTAGTATGATATGTTAAGGCACTCTAAAATATTAGTGAGGTCACTGTCATAAGTTGCTTAGAGTCTGGTACACGGGGAAGAATTTTTTATTTTTTGCGAAGCTTTTGCTACAGGGCGCGCGTGCCTAGCGGAAAGGCAGAGAGAGACGGAGAGACAGAAAGCGAGCAATTGTTCCCCAGGTGGGGTGGGCACGCCACAATCCCTTGTCTTCCATTCTCTTCTCAGGGTCTTGGGCATGCACGCACACACTTCCATCGTGCGTTTCAGCCACCAGGTACAGTTCTCAAACCTTGGTCGACAACCTGAAAGTCTAGCGACATAGTCATGACGCCATGTGTTGGTCCCAGTATAAAGCCTTATTTCTGCTTGTTGCAAGTTTTCAGCAAGGGAGTAATGTGTCACATTATTCCATTTACCCCTGTTTGGAAGCCGAGAAGATGCATTTCTTTGTATGTTGTTGACCTGAGTTCAGAATCATTCTGAAAGAAATTAAATTCGGATGGGAGAGATAGGGGAGTCCTGACAAATTGGTTTTGTAGTTATCCATAGAAAGCTTAGAAAGCAGTGTGTTTCTTCATGGAATTATTTTTTTGTCCAAATTCGGATCTCCAGGTCTTATGAAAGTAAAGACAAGAAAACGGAAAATAGGAAATGGTGGACCGCCAGAAAAGCGAAGGTGGTAGGAATATCGGAAGAGGACACGTCACCGCCTGGTGGTCCACTGAAGTCGGCTGAGGACAACAGATGCTGTGAAGCAGATTCAGAAGAAAAAAGGTACACATCTATGAGTTCTTCATTTCTCTCTGAAGGAATGTCAACAGTGGTGGCTTTTTCTTGAAACAACCCAGAATAGTGTCCTGTCTTCCCGTCCAACATGGGAATACTCAGTTGTTTTTTCTGTGGAGGAGGTGACTAAAATGAGAGGAAGGGTCCTTGACAAAACTAGTTTCATTAATGAGCAGGCAAGCTTGACTGTGAGGAAAGTATTATAGACACCTCCTTGGAGAATTAGTTTGCGAAAGGCATAAGAGAAATGGGTGAGAACTGAAGAATGTGGGATTCAAGGAAGTTTTCATTCCTTTTTATGAGATAGGTCAACCGATTCTTGTAGAGTA